CAAACGCAATAGGACGAGGTTTAAAAAATACCGGTTTAGCATCATCTTTTAATTGTAATTGCACTTGGTATTTTGTAAACATGCCTAAATCGTTTGAAAAAACTGTTGGGTAACGCGATTTTAACTGTTCAACGATGTTATCAGACTGAGTGAAATTAATTTGTAACATTTGCAAGTTAAATAAACTTATAAAATCACGCCCCACAATTGGCGGCCCACCTTCACGTATTACCCGCACACTAATAATACGTGTCTTGTCCGAATACGTAAAAGGCAGTTTTATAATTCCGAGACAGTGAATTGCTCGTCCCGTATATGTAAACAATCGATCACTCGCGAGCGATAATGGCATAGATTTGAAATATTTTTTATACGTTAATTCGGAAATCGCGGTGACCGCCGACCCTGTGTCAATTTCAAACTTTAGATTAACGGCCCGAATTGAAATAACCACCGTCATTGGTTCACCCTTATGCGAACATATCTTATTTATCCTACCGTCATCGTCACTCTCGTTCGACTCGCCGGTACCTACAAAGTTAATCTTTTTGCACATTCGGCGCAGATGTCCCGTTGCATTACACTTTTTACACTTATAATTACTAAATCTACACTGAGCCGTGTTATGATTTTTATAGCCGCACACTTGGCACATATCTTTTTTTACGCCACTGGTTTCACTACGCGCGTATTTATCCGTCGCGATCTTGAAAAGAGGCTCGCTCGCGACCGGCCCCTGCGCCGACGCTTGAAATGATGATGATGAAGATGCTGCTGCTCCCTGACGTGCGCTGCGCACGCTCTCGGCCAGCTCCACCGCTTTCACCAGCGTTAGTTCCTCTAGGTCGCGCGCAAACAGTTTATCTTTCTCCGGCCCCGGTTGCATACCCATAACAAACCGGTCACGGAGTGCCTCCTCTACGTTTAGAAACCCACAATGTGTAGTCAGCCCACGTAGCCTAGCAGCCCACTGCGAATACGTTTCATCTAGATGTTGGGTAGCGGCATAAAATTTATACCTCTCGCCAAACCCACATTTTTTCGGCGTAAAATGCTTGTCGAGAAGTGCCAAAATGTCTTCATATGGCACTTGCGTTAGCTCCTTCGGTAACGCCAAATCCGCCGCAAGTTGATAAGTGCCATCGCTGAGTGCACTCAGCAATATCGCCCGCCTTTTCACTGCTGCCGAGTCCGTTACATCGTCGATATCGTTCGCGATGAACCATTGAGAGATGCGCTGTTTATAGTTTTGCCATGTATGAATAGTGTGGTCAAAACTGGACAAAATACCAAACTGAGACATTTTTCGTATTTTTTTTTTTTTTTTTTATAACGCGGGTACTCGTCGCCACTGATAAGTATGCGCACAGGGAGTAGTGACAAGGCCGATAGCTGGATTCGCACAACACTTTATTTGTCAAGCGACACGACATTTTATATGTTAGGGGTGGATGCAACCACCCACATTTTAGGAATATAACAGAAACATGCTACAATGTGAATTTTGTTAAAATACGTTCGTATAGAGACTAATTTTAAACTAACTAAAGCTCATAAATAACAACCTTTTTACGTAAACTAAGTTTTTATGTCTTACGGGAGAAAGACGAAATAAGAAATGAAAATTTAAGTGCCTAATACTGTTTTAAGTAATAGTCAACTCTAGCAAAGTTTATTTAAGGACTATTAGACGTATCCAAACTTGAGTAAGAACTATAAATACGTATTAAAACTTTGTGAAAGCTTCATCAAGTTTTAAGCAGCGCTTTGACAAACTTTTTTAACAAGAGTTTGAAAAACATGTTCTATTCTTAACATTTTTGTTGGAAAGTACTTTGTGTTTCTTTATTTGGTTAAAAGAGAGGGATTACAAAAGAATTTATCAATTTCGTGTAGGTACTTACTGAGTCTAAAGCCACTAATGTATTCGGTACGTGATCTTTATTATCCAGGTATGTGCACGGTTACATGAAAGCCTGTGGCACATTTTGCGACAGTGATTTATCTATCATATTACTTTTTATTAACTATAAAATGCACCCGTTCTTTTCTAATACCCATAAGCGTCGAGGTCCTGTTCCCTCTGTAAGGATACGGGTGGGACTAGGTGTGAGTTTTCAGAATCCGACAGCTATAAATTTAGTCCCACCAACGTAATAGAAAAACTGTTGTCGTCAACCTGGTAACGATTAACTTTATGAATTAAAGATATGAAAATCTATAAAAATAAATAAAAAAATGTGTCTGTTTTTTAATATCAAAATAATATCTAGGTTTCTTCATGCTCACACGGTTATTTACACGACACCTATGCCTAAAACACAGTTTTTTTACTGTCTGTCTGTTTGTTCTGAGTAATCTTGTAAACGGCTGGACCGATTTTGATGATTTTGATGAACCCAAGTCAGTCAGTCTATGGATGGGCAACCAATCTTAACATATTGAGACCCCTCCGTGTCTCGGAGAGTACGTTAAGCCGTCGGTCCCGGTTGCGTCACACATCTGTGGCAATCGTTACGGGTACTTGGACCCCTAAAAATATCCGACAACAGTCTTTTCACAGAATTTCGATATCGCCTAATGCTTGGGTTGTGGAGGTCTGTTGGCAATCGTTGCGCGTAAAAAACGAAGTACAGCCATATTGTAGTTGACTTAAAGCTGACCTCAAACTGTTGTTGAAACTGACTGCAAAGACGTGCTGTTTTGTTCAAGTGGAGAAGAAGTGGAGATAGTTTTATTTAAGAAAAAAGTTATATATAAAGTTGTTACCATCTTTTAGATAGTTGCTAGTATATAAACATTTTGATTAGCCACTGGCAATAGCCATTAAATAAAGAATACGACAAAGTTTTAACGTTAACGTAACAATTCAATCTATTACGTTTACAACTCGGACCCTACTTTGCTGTTGATACAAGAAACCTATTTCAAAGTTTGTTTAACGGTTTCCTCGTTCAGGAATTCAGAGGTCACATTTTCTCGTAACTTTGTTGCAAAATCAGACGTTATGTTGGCTACATTGTTATTCAAATTCATTATAATGGTCTTCGGAACAACTGCGTATGTTCATTTTCTATTCTATATCTATCGCATTATTATTTGAGTTTTATGTTATGTTGGAAGATGTTAGGAGCACCACTAACTAATAATAATGATATTAATAATAATATTTCGGACATCTGACACACAACGCCATCTAGTTTCAAACAACGCAGAGCTTAATTAGAATACTTATATACTTTTCTTTTGTAAATACATACATATTATACCTACATATAAAACACCAAAACTCCGAAACAAATATTTACAGATCATACGAACATTTGTTCCGACCCGGGAATCGAACCCGAGAACTCAGCACAGCAGTCGGATACTCTACACCGCTGCACCACCGAGGCAGTCGAATGGTCGAAACGAGAAAAAGAGAGATTTAATACTCTGGCTTGCAATGCCTAAATACTGGCTTCTTCTGATTCCTATATTTTTGCTTATTGTTATTATTGCTAAGGCTAAGTCTTGAATTCTGGTGTAGACTTAAAATAGACTTTATTTTTAATCGGCTTGATAAGAGAAGGGGATTCTCAATCCTCAGAACTCTGTCATTTATGAACCGATCCAGAAAACTCTATTTTGCCTTAGGAGGGTACATCCCATTTAAATTTAAAGCAAAAAAGCCCCAAAAGGTAGAAAGTTGAGTTATGAAGAATACAGTTTATTATAATTTATTATGATGTAGGTGCATTGAAATCAGTAATACTTAAAAAAAACCGTAGATTTACATTTTTTTCTTGTGTCTGCGTTATTACCCGGGTTAGGCAAATTGGGTCTAAATCCAGTAAGCTGTTACATTTTTCATTTCGTGTCAGGAAAAAAAACAGTATTACGTGTGCGAAATTCTATTTTTTTTTTGCTGTTTCAACATTTTAATCCCATCCTATGAAGAAAGGTTACTACTTTTTTTTCGGCCAGTCAGGACAGACATAGCTTATTAACAGACCGTATTTTTCAATAAAACTGACACTACGTCAGTAAACCTAAATGGTAAAAAATAGCGTCACAAGATTGATCTCGGTTTCGTAACCTCTAATATAATTCATGAATTTTATTAATGCTTTAAATTGAAACAAAATAATGAGCTTAAAAAATGTTTCATAAACCTCTTCTTTAACAGGCGTTAAATGTTGCTTCCTCTTTCATTATGTCTTTATCCTGTAAGTTTATTTGTTACGTGTTCACGCCTCAACCACTAAACCTCTTTTAAAAATTCTTTCACTAATGGAAAGCTATAATACCAGAGTGTACCGTAGGGTAACTTTTACCGCAATAACCAACATACACGCGGGCGTAGCCGCGGGCAAAAGCTGGTAATATTGTAAAAGTGAAAGTAACTTTTCTTTACTATACTTTCAAGTCCTAACTTCTTAACTGATCATCATGGCATTGCAAATACACGTCACGTTTATCCAGAAAAAAACAAAAATATTGAAAGAAAAAATCTTTTAGACAAGTAGAGCCGAGGGCAATAACATTAGTAATTACCAAACCTGATTTACAAGGTATTGTTTTCTCAATAAATACTCTTTAATCATGCAAGTTGAATTCTCTTGAAATCTTACTGGAATTATCGGCATTCTACAAGTGTCTTTCTGGTTCTCAAGATAATAAAAACTGATTTTATTTATAAGTGCATTTTACATACTAGGTTGAACTAAGGAATACTCAACTATATGGGCGCATTGTTGCAATGGGTTTCTTTGTGTGTCCAAGGTCAAACAAAGTGCTGATGCTTCGATCACGTCTACTGTCTATCTTGGTTAATATTTGGATGGTACCGAAGTCAAATCCAAAATGTTTTTTTTTGGTTTATTTTAATAATTAAAACGTAAGTGAAATCTTCCAAATATTTGACTACATCAATTTAGTTTTCCTGCCAATCTATTTAAGGCTTCAGAGTGTGTTATACGTTACAATTTAATAAATAAATGCTCAGCTAAACTTACCTTATAGCCTACATTTCTGTTAACACCAGTATGACAAGACTTCAGACCTTTCAGTTGATCCAAATTATTGACAGGAAGATCATTGTGTACTACGATCACGGCTTCGTATCTAAATGGAGCTGGAAAAAATAAAAAAACCTTTAAGTAGGTACAAGAATTCGTGTATTTGGGATCAAGAAGTATTGTGGACTGGCTATCGGAATTTAGTTTGAATTTGAATGTTTTCTGCAATAAGTTTAAAAAAAATAAGTGGTGATTATATATCACAATATCGAGAAATGACTGACTCATAACTGTTTATCGAAAATTAGGTCGCTGGTCTGTTTTTAATGCTAAGTGTCCTCTCAGAATTTTGACAACCTGGTCTTTTCAACCTACTACATTCAGCGTCCAAGACTTGTGACGGTATCGTTCACTCTAGGTTTTCCATACAGTTTGACTTCTCCCTTTGTCTCATCTGAAAACGGTTACACTATCTAGGATGATCGGAGTCAGATAGGTGGATAAATACCCCCTATTCATCCCGTGGGTGTCGTAAGAGTCGACTAAGGGAGCTAACTACGCAGGACAACAGTACTGCAAAGAGAAGGAAAACCTGAAACAAACTCTATACCGTCTGGCCAGGGTGGTATAGTAGGCCAAAACCTCCTTTCTAAGGAGAGGCCTATGTCCAGCAGTGGACTAGTAAAGGCTGTGGATGGAAAATATTATAAATTGCACCAACCTTCAATAAAATAAGGAATACGGGCAGGAAGAGGATAACTATGTTGATTTTTCTTATCAAGATGCTAATTTGGACGATGATGACGATTTTGATGGCTATGAAGGTGGTATCATGGTTTCTATATTTTTACCTATTTGATGTGCTAGAGGTTCAGCCGAACGCGAAGGGCGAAGAGTGCGAAGACTTCTTAAAATTAAAAGTAACAAATATCCTTACATCAACATAAACAACGAAACATCACCAAGTTGTTTTTAACAGATGTTTGTTAGTTGTTTCATTTATTCGCTCGAGGATTAAATGGGGTTGTAATTAGTCAAATACGTAAAATGTGTAAAGTCTCACCACATGTTGTCATACTCGTATAGATGCATAATATATAATATAAAAATGTTGTGGTTTGCCGGAGAACCGTATGTTTACAACCGTTTAATCATGGTGTACGTAAGATCAATTAAAGTTTCTTGTATATTGGCAACAGAGGTTATTACTAAATGTTATGTGTTATTCTGGATAAATAGTTTTTAACAGAGAATAGATTTTTATGGTTAAAACTTGAATGTTCGAGCTTTGCGTCAAAGCAGTTCCTTCGTTGCTCTCACCGAGTGAGTTAGTTACCGAAAGCTCAACCCACCACCTAAATCTTGAGGAAGGAAAGGGGGGGGGGGGTCAACAAAGGGCCCCACCGCACTTATGACTTTTGAGTTGCAAGTGTCCATGGGCGGTGATAGTCACTTACCATCAGGTGACTCGTCTGTTTATTTGCCCACTACACTATAAAAAAGGTTAATACAACATACGACATACATACACGTAATAGGTTAATACATACGAAATATTTGTTTTACAGATATGTCTGTAGTACTTTACCTAGGCTATACCGTATACTGTCCAAATTTTAAGTATACATTTTCACGCAGTCAAGATTTTGGTTATTTTTCAATAATTAGCTTGTTTCTTGAATTGACGTAATGAAACACTATATCCATATTGTTCACATTATAAACAATAAAAACGGCTTGAGGTGTCTATGGACCTCGTCGGAACGAAGTTCCTTTCGCGTTTTAGTAGACGTTTGCTACAGTGTTGGAAAAAATTCTTGTTACACATCTTAAGGTCTCCCTCCCAACCGCTCAGGGCGTGTAATGCGCTATAAGGAACTTCGTTCTAATAAGTATTATTACGCAATGCAATCGTGTTAGAATCGATTGAAACCGATAATACGTTATAAAGCACTTCGAATAAAATAAGTTGTCCTATATTATACTCGCATCTTACGTAACTTTTAACCGAGAGAAACTTTCGAATAAAGTATCCCGGGGCTATGGCAAGCGTTTTACTATCTTCCATTAATGCAATAGAGATAGAAAATGCTTTTAATAGATACGGGTTATACGGTACTGATAACATAATGGTTATTAAGCTTGATTGAATTCAAATGTTTGGGGATAGATAAGACTTTAGCTCGTGATGTCATTCGTATATTCTTATCAGAGAACTCTTGAAATGGGAGTTCTAATATTTGTAATAAAAACATGATGTTTGTTGAATCGGGATTTAATTACTATTATTATGTTAATCAGCAGTCTGATTACCAGAGTACAGGGTCTGCCTAATTTGGGATCGGATGGTCGTGTGTGAGATGTGTGAAGTTATTATTATTATTCCTGTTGGCAATCGTGGCCTTTCCCACACGGAGATGTTTCATACAAGCAGAAATAATTTGGGTTTTCCTTTCAATAGGTATTGTTATCATTTGGATCGGATAAAGTTACCAGTTCCCTCCTCATAAAAGAGATAAGGTGACAGGTTCAGGTGATCTTCTTGATGTGAAATATACATATAGGTATAGCGAATCCGTGGATATTTGTGCTGCGAAGAAGTTATTTTTTACATAATAATGAAAAATTGCAATTTTGGTTTGCAAAGCCATTGTTTCCGTTTGTTTTTCAGTGACTGATATTGTTTAATACATTGCGTCGTCCTCACTCATAAAAATTACAAACTCGTATAAACGATCAAGTGTCAGATATGATTAAATATTTAATTAATATGATTAAAAGTACAAATGGTTTACGAAGTACGAGAATAGGACCATCTGGTGATCTAAACTTTTTATAATTATATTAGCAAGTATAATAGCGGCATTTTTGCTGACAGTTCTTGAAACGCCTGTCAGTATGATACTTTGTGTGACGTGGGTCTGCGTATTCTCCGAGTGATGTTTTTTATATATTTCAAATGGGCTGCTGGAGCTTCTAATTATTTATTGCGTGTACATTCATGAAAATTTAGATTATTTATGTCTGGAGATCGCCTGGTGGTCCGTTTTAAATGTCTTGTTTTATTTTATTGAACAGTATCACTATTATTTTATTATAAATACTTTGTTCTATAACGATTTTAAACTTTAAACTCTTGATTCCTTAATGTATAATTAATGGTTGGTGATTGTATTAGTGTAAAATTTGTAATTCTATTTTAGGATTAAATTTAAATAGCATGTAAGTTAATTATTAAGGAATCACAATAATAACAGAGGTGTATATGACGCCTAAGATACAGAACGTGTACTAGTTTAGGCGTCAAAGATACAAGATTTTGTGCAAAATTCTTGGTCTTCATTATGTCATAAAAATTGTTAATACCATTAAATTATGCTTGTATGAGGCGAATTGAAATAAATTTATTATGATTAAGTATAACAGTTCAAAGTATATACGTGTTTTTAAATATTATTTTTCTTTATAGCACATAGTGTTTAAATAGTTTTTCTTATTCAACATTAAAGTTTACAAATGTTTTTTTTAAAAACGACAAAGAGTTTTATTCAAGAAAAAATAACTTTACCTTTATTTATTAAAATCAGCTCTTGATTCAAGTACAAAATAGATTTCTAAGCTCATTTAAATAAGTGTGTAAATCTATTAATCACCAATTGATGTTACATTAGCAAATATACAGAGGAAATACACACTGTCAGAGAATATTACATATACCAATAAATAATAATAAAATATTACATACCGGCTTATTGATTTTATCAGCATATGGAAGCGATTCTCAACATTTTTCTTGCCAATCGATGAAACTAACAACCATTCTTAACTGTCAACGACGAATAGTTCGTTCTCTTTGTTGTCTAAAACTTAAATGTTCTTCTAAAAGCGACAAGAAAAAAAACTGAATACCGCTGGCACCTCAACTGTTGTGGATTCGATCATAACGTAATTTGTGTCAGTTAAACGTCTATTTAACAAGAAAATATTTTAAGTTAGTTAGTTAAAACAATTAGTATTCTATTGAATATACTCTTTGGATCAGAGTTGTCTTTTAATATTTTAAAATTATTAACCTTTTTTCGATGGTTGGGATGATTTATAATCTCTGGATAGTATTCGGAGAAGGAATATTTTTAATCTTTAAATTATTTTATATGCTTCAAAATAGTCTCTAATGGTTCCTGGCTAAACTTGGAAGATTCATATTAATCTCACTCCAGCGAGATTAATATGAAACGAACAAAGACATTCCTCTCGGATTATTCTCGAATGAATATGGCAAAAGTAAATCCCCAACGCGACTCTGCAAATTTTAAATTAAATCAAGTTCCCAACTTTTCTGAAACAAAGCCCTTACTAAGTTTACAAATTATAAGGATTTCGACTAAGATGTCTTTCGGTTTTCTTCTCCAAATGAGAAAAGTAAGAATTCTAAGTCAGCTTAATTATGACATTTGTTTTAAAGGGATTGTAATTTAATGAACTTCATAAGCTCTTGTAATTAAAGATCAAATGTTTTGTGTTAGGCTCGTTGAGCAACAGAAAGTAAGGCTTCTTGACAGAGTTTGTTCCTAATTGTTTGTCGACCCAACCTAGAGGGCCAGTTAATTTAAACACTTTTCTTGCGGAACTATTTTTTTTAAAACCCGCTGCCTGGTTGATGTTATATAGTTCCGTAAAATGTTACACATAGAAAAGAACTAACTAAGAAAAGAAAGACAGTCACTAAAACTTTAAACCATAGAGATATCATAGAGTGAACAAGAGCAATAAATGCAACGACAGATATGGATAAGAGATATTTCCCTCTATCTCTTTTTAGTCGAGCTCTGTGGTTGGCAGGGGAAATGTCTTATCTCCCGCCTGTTTTAAGATCAAAACCAGGCCCACTTCACGATATCAGCTTCAGAGGGAACTATCGGGCAGCCATCTCTCTCGTTGCCTGTATCGCTTCCACATACAGGTTTTTTTTAATATTAACCTGTGTTTTTTTCTCATATTGATTACAGTTAGATAGCGAGTTTTAAAAATATTAACTATTAAACTTTATTGAAAATATATTTTTTTACAATTATTATTTCAAGGCAAATTTGACTACTATACTATTTATGATAAAATATGTTTATTATGTATAAACTAAATAATGATAAATTAAACACCGAATGATCTGGCATAATTAAGTTAATGACTAATAAAAATTTAGAAACTGTATATTTTCTGTCTCGCTCCTATCCGCTCAGAGCATGTATCGCGCATAAGGAACTTCGTTCCAATAAGACATTTAGGTTAAAGAGGGAACGTAAAAGAGCTATGCATCACAGAAAACCGATGTTAAGTAATTCTTTCCTTGTTTTTCATAAAGGGACTGAGGTTACTGGAGACTACCCCCCTACGCTAATAATGGGGAGGACACGAAGGGCGACAACGCGCTTGTGACTCTTCGACTGACGCGAAAAGACAATCCTAATCTAAAACAATAATGCAAATAAATGAGACGGATGTGTAGAACGAGTTTGCCCGCATGTTGACTGTCAGCTGCAAAATAATTGGCTGTGTACATGAAGCCACAGCCTAACTGTCGTAACTACGAAACTGGGAAATTTACTTTTGGGATTTGGCCTTTGTAAAGTAAATAAGTTTGGAGTGAACTCAAACAGTTGGCGACGTTTCTAGTGAACCGTGTACAGTTTAGCGGTTTCCTCTCGAGTTTGTGTTGCGATCTTTTGAAGTGGGCTGTAATGAGAATTATAACTTGGAAGGCCAATAAACCAGGCATGAGAATAAAGTCTGTGAAGTTAAATTAGCAGGTAAACTCGGAAAACTTAATTCAGAAGTAGAACGTACCTTAGGGGGCTGTTCTAAATAAGGACGATGAATATTTTTAAAGGGCAACTTTAAGATGGATAAAACTAATTTAGACAGACAGTTATAGTAGTATTGAAGATATGCCTATCGAGGACTTAGAGCGACCGGCTCTGTTTCAAGGTGACGATCTAATCTGGGTAGATCACGTTTTACTGACGAAGGCAATAAGGAAGACAACGCGACAGTCCAACGATATCAAAGTTATAAGATATCAACGTTTTCTTTTATGGTATAGGATGGCTATGGCATCTTGACATCATCATTATCATCATCAACAACCTTTAGTAATCCACTGCTGGACATAGGCCTTCCTAAGAAAGGATGTTTTGCGCTGGACAGACGAGTTGGTATTACCACGCAAGACATCAGCTTTTTTAGTGTTGTTGTCCTGCGTAGTTTACTCCCCCAGTCGGCTCTTATGACACCCACTGGATGAATAGGGGTGGTGACACTCCGAATTCTTAATCCATGAACACACTGCTGATACTTTGTCACACCTAAAACTTATCATGAAAGTCCTTACCATCAGGTTCATCCTTAGTTCTGTATTCCTGTATCACGACGAAGTCCTCATTGGGTATCTTAGAAGCGACATACATGTCTTCCGGATCTACTGGTACGATATCCGCTTGTCTCTGTTGCACGTAGTTCAAGCATTCAACCCTGAAAGTAATTGTTTTCAGTTAGCGATTTAAAAAAGAAGGAGGTTCTCAATGTTTTTGTTCTAATTTGCCGTAGTATAAACAAGGAAGCTGGTATACTTTTCTGTTTTTCTTTTCTTTTTAATAAACTTGTAAAGAATATACCGTTATGCAAATATGCCTCGTAGAAACAAAGATCTTTTAGCGCGTACCTAATGAAAAATTATGATTTTCGTTCATTGTTACTGCTTTTCAAGTGATATTACATTTTATTTTTCTGAAAATATTACATTTCTAATCGAAACATTGCTGTCAACGTTATGTTTGATAAAAAAAAAACTATGCTCTGCCTAGTAAGCTCTGCCTAGTTTGGGATCAGACAGCCGTGTGTGAAATGTGTGAGGTATATATACTTCAACACAAAAGTTTGTGTTATTTATGCATTGTTGTATCCGTTAGTTTTACTGATCCATCAGTTCCATGTTTAAATCTGTATTGTTTAACGTACGTTTGTACGCTTAACGGATCGTCAGTAGCAGCTGTATCAGTATTTTGAACCAATTTTCGCTTTATCCTGTCACGTTTATATTCTGAACGTGGCTTCGTTCTCGTGTCCATATTTATGTATTTTGTGCAGAATTTTCATTTTTTTTTATTTATTATTGTTGTTGATGATGACCTAGGCCTATGGTCCCTATTAGGTGGTGGGTGTATAAAAATCAAGGTCCTGAGTCAACACGATAAAAAGATATGGGCAAATTTCGATTTTCGCGAAAACTTGTAAGTACCGAAATTTACCTTAATTTTCAACTTTTCTTATTTTTCAGAATTTTCTTTTTACTTGTGCTGTAAGACCTTGCTTTTAACCAAAATTGACAATTCTAGGTCTACCGGAAGTACCATATAGGTTTTGGGTCGAAAACTTATAGGGTACTTCCGGTTGTTATATCTATACCTATAAAAATAATAAAATAAAAAACTTATCTTAAGAACTAAATTTTTTCGTGAGTTAAAAAAAAACTTGACGTAATTACCTATCTCTGGCCGCTATACATTTTAGTTGCGCTTTGGATTTGGTGGGTACTTCTAGCATCTCCTGACACGCTTGTAGGTATTGAGCGGGAACGCATATTTTATCTGCAAAATAATTTTTAATTACAATTTTCTAAAAATAAAAAATAAATGGTGTTCATTTGTGTACAGTCTAATAATTTTAAAATCACTGCAATACTTTTATTATTTAAGTGACTGTTGGTTCTATTTATATAAAAACATTTAATTAATCTTTTATTGTGTAGTTTTAATTAATGCTAAAGATCTGCTTGTGTTTTACAATGTCACTCTTTTTTTTGAAGAAGAGGAACTATCCGCCATTTTGAATTTCCCGATAAAAGTTTTATTGTGGCCATAGATAATTTTGGTGTTTATTTTTATTTTAGTTTTATAGTCATATTGTTAAATGAAAAACGTTTTTAAGAGAGATATCAATTTGCAATAAATTCAACTATATCTCTTGAACTTGAACACGAGAAAACTTGAACTTAAACTGCTGATAAGAAGGTCGGAATTCCTCTGTTTGTGCTGTACTTATATTCCTAGTTTTAATTTTTGAAGAAGTACATGTCAATAAAGATGTGAATGAACAATAGTAGATGTCAATGTTTTGTAAAAATTCAAATAACCAATTTTATTAATAAACTTTATTTAGTATAGGTACTTGAATAGAATTTGTACTAACTGTTTTATCCTCTATTATATTTTTAAACAAGTACACTAGCACATTATGAAGGTCCAATTAGAGTTACAATTTTAGTGTAGTCCCTGGACATTATCAATTAAAATATATAAATGTTTTTTTATTAAGGAGTTCCAGGTCGGATATATATTTATGTTATTTGGCACAAAACATGTTTTGTGCAAAATGTCTTCTCAGTGAGTTGTCAGTTAGTAAAAAAATAAACGGATTAAAAAAAAAAACAAATGAAAGGATGGAAATGGGCGGCAGAAACTTAAAAATATCCCGAAATTAGAGCTAAAACGATTAAACGAACGTAATAATATAATAATATATGTAATTAATGAAAAAAGGAGAAGAAATTGGATTTTAAAACCAATTTATCTTTTATTTTCCTTTAGGTTGATAGGCCATAGCAATCATACTGGATTAACATGTTCTTATCAAAAGTTATGTAACATAAAAACGTGTCTACTTTCTATCGCCTAGATGTTAAGCAATGTCTAGATATCTATGTAATATCATATACTCGAAACAAAATCGTAAACACAAATCAAAATATAGGAATTGATACGAAATATTTCATACCCTCGTCGAATAAACACATTCAAAAGATTATTCCATTTTCTGGCAAATTTAATTCACCTATTGGAATCGAAAGGCTAAGGCAGAATATTCGTAATCGATTTTTTTTGTTTTATTTTGTGTGTCCATTTCATTGTAAATTACATAATAAATGTTACTAAACCGGTAAATATTCAAGCATATTTCGACAGCTGAGGTTAAATGTCAAACATAACACTTCGGTCATTACGCTAATATTTGATGTAGTCTATCTAATAGTTCATAGCTTTAACATGAAGTATTTTGCTTCTACTTTAATTATAAAATAAAAATAATCAAAACTTAATTTCCTGTTAAACATATCTCATGACAATTAGCAATTAGCATGAAACCTTTGTCACATTATTTTTGTGAAACATGCACCTCTTTTCACTGTCACTGTTTTAAATTTCGAAAACAATAAAACTCTTATGAATTTTAAATTTGGAATATCTGTTTGGAGCTTAGTTAGTAGTATAGTTTTAATTTAAAAAAGGACAATACTTTTGAAACATACATATCGATTTTCCGTGCACACAAACACATGCCAGAGCTAACAAAAACACGTATTTAATAGCCATGGTCAAGACGACCACACGGCTAGCGGTCCAAAACTACTGATTGACGAACAAGACACTTCTTTTATATTCACACGTTATCGTATTGTGATTGTAACAGAATAATATGAGACGGACAGGAGTTGGGTCGGACACTGAGTTCGCCGGTAATGCGCTTGTATGCTTTGCGAGACACAGCGTCAATTTTGTGGCTAATTGGAAAACATTTTACGTACTGGTATAGAGTAAGCTAAAGATAGACTAGTGCATCATATTAAAGACAACATTAACGAACAAAACTTGACAAATTATTTTATTTAAAAAAAGAACTTTTAAACAGTCAGTGGTAACGAGTATATTTACTTACTGAAAACATATTTAATTAGCTTTTTTAGGTAATAAATAGTATAGTAGGCCAAAACCTCCTTTCTAAGGAGAGGCCTAAAAGCTAGTACTGAATAAAAATATCCAGTTTTCCAATGTGATAAAAATGATGAAAATACATTGCAGCTAAAGAAATTCTTATTCCAATAATTTTCATCGCTCGCTTGGGATCTTGGCTTGCTTAAGCAATACAAAACCGAATGCAGTTATTTTATGGACTGCACGGATGGCATAGTGGTTTAAGCGGTCGTCACGCCGCTTCCTACTGCGCCGACTGTTGTGGGATCAAACCCCATATGGGACGACACTTTGTGTGATCCACAAATTGTTGTTCTGAGTCTGGGTGTTCTTTGTGTTCGTTTCACGTATGTTTGTAAAGTCCCCATCGACACAGTATATATTCTTAATGTCTTTAAAAAAAAAAAAAGATTTTTTGAATTTGTTGCCTGTTTTACATGCTTAAAAGTATGTAAAACTTCAGGATTACTTTATATTATGTTATAACGAAGGAATGAATATTCATTTTCCCTAATTTAAATTTAGAACAATAACTATTACGAAGGCGGTAATCAATTTGTAAAAGCGATTAAAAGAATATTTTATTTCAAATAAAAAGTTTGAAAAAAGAAGTATCGGATAATATTGTTACTCGGATAATATTGTTACTGTCATAATATTGAATTTTATTCTTTTTTTTTGCTTAACAAAATTAGTTTCCAGTGCCTCATGAACAAAATATTATCTACTAAAAAAGTTTGTGAAACGTCAAACTGAAATTACTATGAAATTAGAAATTGCATTTTGTTTTAATGTGAATTAATATAGTGATTAATTAATATGGATTGGATACATTGCAATAATTGTTTTACTCAGTTAGAACCTGGAACTACTTTACATTTAACTTCATGCGGTCACATGTTTTGTAACGGCTGTTTGGACAAAGGTAAGTTATATGTCACTATAATAAATTGTAAAGCATATAAATTTAAAATTTTCAAATAACAATCTCGTTATAGGTGGCAAAGAAAGTACATGTTTAATATGCCGAGCGCCGTGTTCCATCATGAAACTTGTCCCAGACGTACGTAATTTAATATTTAAGCATTACCGTTTGAAACGACAGAACGTAAATCTCATATTAGTAATTTAATTTCAAGATGAAACAAGAGATTCAAGAGTACTTCACGGATCCAGAGGAATTAATTAAAAAGTCCTGTGAGGTGTTACAGTTTCAGAGGCAACACAGACGGCGCTTGCTATCTTATTTATTGCAATCGGTTTGTAATTTTCTCGTTTTCTCCGAGCTAATGAAATTTGTGGCTTTAAATGTCTAATAAGACCTTAGTTACTGTTTGTATGAATAAATTCAAAAGTGTTATTTTAGAATTAATTTCGTTACGGAATAGGCAATATAAACTTCGGTTTCATTTTATTCGTACATTTTGACTTTGATTCTCCAATAAATAAGTTTATTTAACAAGTTCGCTACGATTCCTGTTATTTATAAAATTAAAATGAATCTACAAAGATCATGTTACAAAAATGGTTTACGAATTTCAGACAAAGAAATTTTATACGGCGAGATCTGAACTAAAACGCATGACGGAATTGTGCCAGAAGCAACACACCAGACTGAAGGAGTATCAGAAAATAATCAGAAATCTAGAAGCGCAGTTGGGATCTCAGTCAAGTAACTATATCAAAATTAACTTAAGTATGTTTTGTGTAAGATACGGATCACGTATAGTTACAGATCAGCTTCTTCAAATCTTTAATGCTGGCGGTGTTACCCGCGTTTGTTGTTATAACCGCGGGCAACGCCGCGGGGCGAAGCTAGTCTAAAAAAAGTAGCCTAAGTTACTCCTTATGTCATCAGCTATCTGCCAGTCAAAGTCCCGTCGAAATCGGTCAGCCGTTCCAGAGATTACCCGGAACAAACAGACAGACAGACAAAAATTGTAAAAAATGTTATTTAGAAAAATGTACTGTGTAAACATACATATGCATTTAGTCAAAAGCGGTTATTTTAATATTACAAACAGACACTCTAATTTTCTTTATATGTATAGAAGATTATATGTACGTGGGACAATATTTTGTGCGATCCACAAATAGTTGTTCTGAGTTCTGTTTGTTAGGCTGCCACCATAGGTCCTTTCTCATCGTATTTTGATGTCAATAAACCAATTTATCTCTTAGCTCACACCATTAAGCACGTAAATGGACGATATCCTTCCTTGAAAACACAGCGGTCATTAGCTATTCGGGAACTCCCTGCCCACATTCAAGTGGACAATTGCGTACAATTTCGATTGATTCAAATTGAGTCCGTTAGAAGCGGTTACAGTTTTTGGAACAGAGGATATTAGAAGCGCTAATTAATAAATAAATTAGTTTATGTTATGGTTTATGACGTATTTATACCCTCTTGAATGAAAAGAGAATTTTCCAAATTTAAACGGCGGAGTTAAATAGTATACCTGATGTATATTTACAAATTTACAAATAAAAAATTTAACCGCTTCTTAAAACTTATTATACTTTTGTTTTCCATTTAAATTCTGATCAATAACGAGTACTGCCGATTTAAACTCCAAAATATTTTTATTGAGTAGGCTTTGCTACATAACACTTTTAAAAGTCTGTAAAGTTAAGTAAAAAACTTACTGTAGGTAATTTATTAGAATAATTTCCACAAAGCAGCAGATGGTTGTTATCTATCATAATATATCTTTTCTAACTTTAAGAACGCTAGTGATTTATAGAATGGTTTTTTCTTATCAGTTCAAAAGTTTGGGTTTATGTTTAGGTATCACGGTGCGATATCATTCCAACACAAAGGTAAAAAATATTAATCAGAATTAGAAAGATTTCGCTAAGGAAATAACTATATTTACATATTGTACGGATAGCGTTGTGGGGTTTTCCCATGTGGGGATCGAACCCATATCACTCAGCGCTTTGTTTGATCTACAAATTGTTGTTTAAATCCCCCCGCGACTATTATATATATAAGTATATTCTGTATATATTTATATGGATATATTCCTTGAATTGCCTTTTTAAAAAGAAAGCAAAAAATACAAGTTACAATAAAATCAAACTAGCGACATAAATATATTTTTTCTGTGTTTAGTTTAGTAGTAACCTTTTACGAAATGTGTATTTTCATATATATATTTATGAGATAATATTCGCAGAGCAAGTATCGCCATTTAATATTCCCATATCGCCGGGGAGTAACATATCTCCCAGCTTCGTACAAACTACACCCGCATGCAAACGTAATGCGAGAAGTACCCCGTTTGCGGTAAGTCCTTTTTTATTGTTCCCTTCTCAAGTGATATAATCGCCAAATAAGTCCTTAAACCGGTTTTTTTTTATATTCAGATATTCCAATATTATATATATTTTTCGTCAATAATAATATTAATTTTGTCGATTTATTTCGATTTTTATCACATCTTTTTTTTCTTTCCATAAATAGTCCACAAATTATACTTGTGTTTCGTCGTAATTATATTTATGCGTATATTGTGTAATCAATAAACAAACCCATAAGTTACCCACAAACAAACTTTTAGCTGTTATCTTTGTATATTTAAAATGTCTTATCAACTGCTGTTTACGTTCAATAATAAAGTGAATTTGAGATGAGTAAAATGTAGTGAAGGAATTTTAAAGAATGGAAGTTGACGTATATAAGAGTAGAGGATGACCGAAGAGTGAAAGAGGCGAAGAGAAGTGAAAGAGGATATGCTGGCATAGGAATCAAAACGTGTTCAGGACGTAATATTAACATTGTTGTTATATTTTTTGTACCCACATACCAAAGTACTTGTGGGTTTATCCCCCGTTCACATTTTTATCAGTAGCGGATCACGTGTTATAAATAAATTACATCTACAAACAACTGATAAAAATAATTTTATTTTTAATTCACTAATTAAAAAGATGGTATGTAGTTAACATAGGATAGGGGAAATACAGTGGCACACAAGGGTTTCGTAAAGAAATAAATATTACTAACCTTTGACTTTAGCTGCAGCAGTATCAGTCGAACTTGGTCACACCGTCTCGTGTCAGCAAGCAAAGGTCTGCTAATCTCAGCGTTCAAAGTCAGGTAAATACAAATTCTTATTAATAATATTAGTAATAACCTCGCACATCTCACAGATGGCTGTCTGATCCCAAACTAGGCAGAGCCTGTGCTATGGTCACCAGTCTGCTGATAAACATACTCATATATTACTAAATACAAACATATTTTAAATAAATTAAAGCCAGACACAGAACAGATGCTCGTGTTTATCGCACAATTATTTGTCCTGGGTGGGAATAGAACCCACGACCCAGAGGTCGACTTAGAAGTCAGGGTCACTAGCCACCAAATGAACAGGCCCGTCAATTATGTATGTATTCAACAGACACTGTGATTTGACCTGACAAGGTTAGGTCGTATTCGCTGCAACAGAGGAGTCAGCAAATTTGGGATCTAACCGTAGCGGACTAGGAAAGTATTGCTATAAATTGGATAGATTTACTCTACAGAAGAAAATAGTGAATTAGTATTTAGACCTTCAATTAAAACACGTTACTTAGTTTTTTTTTACTTCTTGTAATAGCGACACTATTTGTAAAGGTCTATGGTTGCAAATGCTAGTGATTACACCTACAAATATTTTTTTAATGTAATAATATCAAACTAAACATACCAGTTTAGACTTACGAATCACTAGCTTGTTAGCCCGTCCACGTGACTGACTTTTATGGTTAGACACGTGTATCAGCGGGCCTAGTGATAGTTTATTTCACATCACCTCGCTGTCGACAGCGAGCGTGTTCGGCGTTGCGATTCTTGAATATTTCAGCACAAGCCAATTAAAGCGCTAAACGCTGTCGGCCGTGATGATCGAGTCGATGTGAAATCAACTTTTTTTTTTTAACGTGTGGGAACTCCTTCGGGCCCTCACCCACCGGGGTTTCCGGCGGGGCGCTGTGTGCTAATCGGTGTGCCACTTCGCGCCTGAGATGGGAGGGGTCCGGTAACTTCTGATATTCAGACATCCGGACCCCTCCCAGCGCCTGCCCGCAGCAGCGCGGGCACCACCTTTGGGTAAACTCTCGATTTAGGCGATGTCTGGCACATGCGGACGTCGCCTCCTCACGGCTGGCCACTATATACATCTTCTGTACTACTACTACATACATCTGTGACTATCGGCCATGGAGCGTATGACGGCCGGTAGCGAGTGATCCCCTCCAATGACTGCAATGAGGAACCGACGCTGTGACGTCCAGACCGGGCCAATTGCCAGGGTGTGCTGAGCCGAGTCCTCACTGCAATCGTAGTGGTGACAGGCGGGACTCAATTCGCTCCTAGCGACCGAGTGCAGGTACTTCCCGAAGCAGCCATTCCCGGAAAGAACCTGCGTCAGCCGGAAGGAAAGGGTCCCGTGCTGCCGCCCTGTCCACTCGACGATGACCAGCTGGAGCGCCTGTGGAGCCACAAACCGGGACAACCAACGAGCTATCGTGGCTCGGCGGGAGGTCTTACGCCACTCGCGTACCTGTTCGGGCGGGGGCCGATTAACGCTATCAGCCCGGAACTCAGCCGTCCGCCGATATAATACGGCGAGCACTTCCGCCTCCAAATCCCACGGGGAATTTCCGGCCAACGCGCACGACGCCTCCGTCGTCACGGTGCGGTAACCGCGTATGGCTCTAACCGCCAATATCCTCTGAGGGCGCCAGAGGCGCGCCCTATTCTGGGCGGTCAGAGCCGCCAACCGTAACAGTGCATCGTACAGCGCCATTGACCGGACAACCCCAAAGCCGTCTTATCGCGACGCTGGCTCAACCAAAATTGGGCAAAAGTCGCCCCAAGGCAGAAGCAACGCCTACCAGTTTTGGAGCAAGTTGTCGGTAGTGCTCGTCGAAGAGCCACCTCCCGATGAGGATCAGGTCCAGATACTTTATCTGGGCCTGAACCGGTACGAGGACCGAGTTGAAAACGATAGAGGTGACAGGGGGGAGACCACGACGGGGCCCATGAAATAAAAGGGCCTCCGTCTTATCCAGGGCCACCCGTAAGCCCAGCGCCCGACCACCAGAGAGAATCCCCTGGTAGCCAGGCGCACCGCCTCTTGAAAGTTCATCCCCCAGGCCGTCGTCAAACGGTACCCCGTCCGGCCCTGGGGCGGTCGCCTTGGAACGGATCCGTAGAACAGTCGCCCCTACCTCCGAATCCCGGATGGGCGGAACATCACCACCGTTCTCCCCGTTTTCTCAGGTCAAGGAGGCCATCGACGAGGGTGTGTGCTCCGCCCGTTAAGGGAATAGGCCCTCTACCACTTCCTACAGGAAGCTGGGCTGGAGAGGTAAGGTAAGGGCGACCCCAGGGGTTAGGATCGAGACCCTCCAGCATCTCCTTTCTTTTCACTTCTTTGGCGCGGCTAATGGCCGCCGACTGCGGGTGTAGGACCTCCGGGCACAAGTACAGGCCGCGTGGAGGTTCTCCAACTCCTGGGAATGTGAAATAAACTTACACTAGGCCGTCAGGCATCATTAGAGTATTGTTTTTTTGTAAAAGAGCGACATTCAAACAGTATAGGCCGAGCCGGCTTTCCTATATTAAAAAAAATAATATTGCCATAACCAGGCGTTATTATAAAGACCGTTATTATAAAAATATGATACACTTTACATTCCTTTTCCAGCGTTCAAATACATCGAACAAGATATCTTCCACGGTCTTCACACCGCCAACACCTGAATCGGCAGGGTACTCCAACTTTTTAAAGAATCTCTAAACGGTATCCGAACGTAACTAGAAAACCGCTAGCGTGTGCCTATGCGAACTTTATAAAAAAAGTCATCCGTAGCTTTGTAAATTAAATTATTCGTTTTATTCTTTAAGGGATGTTTCACATTGTCTTATATAATTCACGATTATTACACCCAAGGAAGCTTTAAATGGTAAAATATAATATGGGATATGGCATATGTTTATGGTCCTTTACATACATAATATGGTCCTTTTGCAATATTCCATTTTAGGGAGAATATGAGCGTGGTTAGATTTAAGATATGAATATCAAATGAATCTTGTATGTAAAGCTAACCCTTTGATCTATGAATAATTTAAAGTTGAAAATTAACATCTATTTAAATTCTATCAGTATCATGACTGCTAACTCTCAACTACTCTCTACTGTTTTTTTGACAATGATTACAAATGATTACAAACGATAAATATTTCAAAGGAACTTTTCCTTTGAAATATTTATCGTTTGTAATCATTAAGATAACTTAATATTCAACCCAAATGTATATAATTCGTATACAATGTGTCTGAACCCTTAACTACGTTAAATTATCTTAAAATTGAATTCCGATCGCGTCGAGCTGATTGGGTGAAATGGCGCGTTCCAAATTTGAAATTATTCAATATTCAGAGGATTTTTACTGTCATTACTTTTTAAATTTTCTTTTGCGTTATAAGGCGACCTTGTATTTCAATTCCATTTTTTGTGATCAATCAAGATTGATTTACTTTTTTTGTTAGAAGAATAATTAATTAAATGAAGATGACGAATTGATTTTAAACATTCAATGAATGTTCAATATTTCGTAAAAAAATTATCGGTTGATTTCATTTCTAGGTTTCTTGGCAGTGGCAATGAGTCCGGGTACATGTCGAACAGTCCGATCTCACCCGGTGTTTATTGCAACGGTTACGGAAAGTGTTCTTTTCAGAAAAAAATGCACACTAAGAACTTTGAATATCTTTAATTTTTTGAATTAAGAATTTGATTTAAATTCTTTTGCATGTTACAATACCATTCTTATTTTGAATATATTTGAATTTAAATGAAAATTAAAAGTTTAAGACTGGGTCTATGCTATTTTTGAGGTGAGCAAATTTAAGAGGGATCGATAGTTTACTGAATATTCTAAGGCCCTGAATACTTGTATTAGTTAATACTTTTGAATTAGCATGTGTGACAAAAATCTATCAGCATTTGATAGATTGACATTGCAAAGAAAGAAGAATTATTTAATAATTTGTGAAAGTAGACCAGTTTTTGACTCAAAATTTTATTTTGATGATTAGAATTTTAAGTATGAACAATTTAAGTAATGTTATGCATTAATACCATACCATTCTGTATTTTTAATATAATAAAATTATTTCTTACGACATGTCGATTTATTTTCGGTTTATGGAGATCATTTTGTATGGAGATTTAGAGGAGGAATGATTAATTATTTTTTATTTTCGTAGAACTTAAAATATAAACACAGAACTTAAAATAGATTAAAATACTAGATAGACACTATATAGTTCAGTTTGCAAATATTTTTATTCATATTTTCCACAGAAATCGTAAGATTGGGTATTCCCTATGTACAATATGTATGTATTTACAAAAAGTATACAAGTATTCTAACAGTCAGTCTTGCTTTCATAGTACAAGCTCTGCTTAGTTTGAAACTAGATGTTGTTATTATTATAATTAAAAACTAAAAAAATCTGATAAAAAAAATATTAAAAAAAAACAAACTTACAGGTAAAAAAAATTGAAATAAATAGCTATTACTGAACAAATAGTTATTTCAGGTAACAACTAGATTGTAATAAACAGAGCAGTTTTCTTTGTTTATTATTTACATAGTCGTCAACTGTGTAATACCCTTATTTCTAACACTATGTTTGAAAATATAGTTGTATCAACTATTAGAGATACTTACTATTTAAGTAAGTATCTCTAATAGTTGATATTATCAGCAACTCTAGAAAATGAGTTTATAGACCCGTAAAATGAAGAAATTTATTTAAAATGTTTCCTTCAACATCAGGATCTTTCGGGAATCTAGAAATTGATTATAACTATGTGATAGTAAATGGTTATATAATTATTTATGCTCTTAAAAAGATAACATTTTATTTACATTTATCAGCATGCTAAAAATTTATAGACTTTAATACGCAAACTTAAACAAATAATTAAATTCCTAAAGAAATTATTGTACAATTTATATTAAGAATATTTTACCTGCATTTAACGTTTAGTCTTTTTACGTTCGAAAATCTGAAAAATATCCTTTTATACTAACATCGATATAAACATCAATGTCATGTCGTAAACTAGTGGCATCAATTGCAATGCAGATGATAGCACATGAGATGCCCTTTATACCGGCCGCCCCAACATTTCTCGGAAAAACGTCATCGAGAGTCAAAACAAACTTGTGTCTGAAATTGAAACTTCCTTCGGAGGTTTCAGATTGGGGCCGACTAAATCTAGTCCAGTTTAACCCAAAAAAGACACAGGTATGTGCGTTCACCGCAAAAAAGATACCATTTGTCGTATCACCTCAGTTTGAGAGCACCTCCCTAACTGGCTCAGCCAGCATCGGAATCCTAGGCCTCGACATATCGAGCGAAGTCCAGTTTCGGGGTCACTTAGAGGGTAAGGTCAAATTGGCCTCGAAGAAGCTCGGTGTACTGAACAGAGCGAGGCAGTATTTCACTCCGGCCCACCGCCTTCAGCTCTATAAGGCGCAAGTCCGGCCGAATATGGAATACTGTTCTCATCTCTATGCAGGGGCACCTCAGTACCAGCTTCTCCCTTTGGACCGCATCCAACGAAGAGCGACTCGAATCGTCGATAGCCCAAACATCTCCGATCGGCTCGATCCCTTGGCGTTACGTAGAGATGTGGCTTCACTCTGCATTCTCTATCGCATATATCATGAAGAGTGCTCTGAGGAATTGTTCGGACTAATACCAGCCGCAAATTTCCGCCATCGTTCCACACGGCAAAATTTTCATCTTCATTACGTGGATAGTTGGCGCTCCACTACTGTGCGCTTTTCGAGATTCTTTTTTGCCCCGCACAACCAATCTGTGAAACGAGTTATCGTCTGCGGTATTTCCGGACCGATACGACCCTCAAACCTTCAAGAAAAGAGCGTACTCCTTCCTAAAAGGCCGGCAACGCGTTTGTGACTCCTGAGTTGCAGACGTTCATGGGCGGCGATAGTCACTTTCCATCAGGTGACCCGTCTGCTCGTCTACTCCCTCTAACATAAAAAATAAATAAAAAACTGTACTTTCTTTTACCTGAATGGAACGATTACATCACTAATTGGCAACCTGCAGCCGTATTATAAACATACGCAACGAACAACAATATCTAATGCTTAATATTACATTGCTTGGCTAGTTTGTGAACATCGCGTGCAATAAGAACCAAAGCAGCAATGGTATTTGTACTAAACGGAAAGTAATAAATGAATATTTACAAAGGTAAATATCTTATTAAAGGATTCATTCAGGAGATGTAAATTAGTAAAAACAATGATTTATTAGTAAAATATAAATTTACCGATGAAATGCTATGCCTATCAGTTGGATTACACGTCCCTGATGCGTTTTCACAACCCATTATGCTCAAGTTCACCTTTTTAACAATATAAATTCATATACGACGCTCCGTGCAGCTAAATCACGAATGGTGTGAATTTCTGTAAGTGGTGTTCGCCTACACATCCTTGCGGCGACAAGGTCAAGCGTCTATGCGACTTCTAGTGTCTTATTGTTACAATTTCTTTGATAATTTATTTATTGAAGTTACACGTCTGTATTTGAATCCGTTATAGGTATTGACAATTCAGGCGGTTCGGAGAAAATTTACTGTGTAAACAGACAGACGCGGTTCAAAACTCCCCATCTTGTATTAAATAAATAAATTGATACAATATTTGTGATATAGAATACATCTTAAATTTGGAAGTTTTTTAATAGACTGACTTTTGCCCGCGCTCCGCCTTTGTGTATGTTATTAACCGCGGTATAAAGTCCTAGCCTATGTCCTTCCTCAACAACCAAACTGTCTCTATATCAAATTTCATCTAAATCGGTTCAGTGAGATGTGATTTCGCAGACAAACTTGTATCCCTCTTTTCATCCCCTTTAAGGATGATTTTTGGGATAAAAGCCGTTGTAATTCCTTTTCTGGAATTCAAACTATCTCTACACCAAATTTCATTGAAATCAGTTTAGGTTTAAGCGTGAAGAGGTAATAGACAAACAGACAAACACACTCGCATTTATGAAATTTACTATCGCAGTTCTAGAGGACATATAAAGGCGACCTCTTTTACTAAGGTGAGAGCGTGTGATAATTGGTTCAGAGATAAATTTCACACCTGGCAACAAAGGTCATCAGACGTCACTTAAGATAAACATTAATACCCGTGGATAGAATACGTGGAACTTAACAGGAAAGCTTTGGAAACTACAAAAATAATAATTGCCGAATAAGGTCTTGGTTACATTTTGTATGTGATTTAAATCTTATTGTCGTTAGATTCTAATATAAAGCTCATTACTAAAGCTATCATAAAAAGTAGTTTCGTAGTAAAGTATTAAACATCCCACGTTGACTGTAAAAAAAAAACCTTCTTTCTAAGGAGAGGCCTATGTCCAGCAGTGGACTATTAAAGGCTGTTGACGTGTGTGTGTGTTGACTGTAATGTGATTATATCGTATTGTAGCCGAAAATTTAATCGGTAATCTGCTTGTCTTAGTAATGCTCTACTATTTTACTACTAAAATACCTTTTATGATAGCTGTGAGATTGAAAGTTGATCGGAACTGAATTGAGACTGAACTTTTATTACGAGAATTGGCCTTCAGGTCATATAGCTTCTACAAAATTCGCATTTTTAAAGGGAAAATTCTCATCTCCCAGCTGTGAGGACTGCGGTGTGACTGATGATGTAATACACACACATGTCTTTATGAATGTGTAAGAAACAGAAGTCACACATAACATTTATGGGTCTAGATAGGTGTGAATATCGGCGTTTGTAATAGTATTTTAGGCCAACCAACAAGTACAAAAATTAGTATGGGTTAAAGCTCGGATGTTGTATAAATTAATAGTATTATGTCTATATTAGATATTAATTGACGTCTTCGTACTATCACAGGGCGATGTGGTTGCACAGCGAGAAAGCCCTTCTAAATAGGAAGAATATCCTCCCAAAAAAAAACAGGTTGGTTCAACAATGATGTCTGATCTCTGACGTAACAAAGAGTAAAAAAAATACAATAAAATTAAGGACCTTCTTTTTTTTCAGTGGATTAAAAACACTTTAACAAGTAAAAGAATTGACAGCCACTATCACTAAGTTTAAGTAGCGCTTAATTACCTGAGACTATCCATCAACAGCGAAATTATTGGCTGAAGTTAAACACGTGCCGTTTTGTAACAGTTCAAGGGAAACTAAGGTAATTCAGCCGTTAATAAATGTTAATAATTTGTAATTAATAGCGTTTAGGAGATTTTCGATTAAAACCAAATTCACGACAGTCAAAGAAAATAATCAGTAATCCATACTTATATTATAGTTGTGAAAGTGGGTTTGTTACGCTTTCACACAAATTTGCACAAATGTTTCTTACACGTACATATTAAAAAATTCCATCTTAGGGATGGAATTTTTGAATATGTACGTTTTGAATATGTACACGTTCATATTTGCAAAATTTTATATTGGTGAAAGAATTTAAAAAATCGGTTTAGTAGTTTAGGCGCGAAAGCGTAACAAACTCACTTTCACAACTATAATATAAGTATGGATTACTGATTATTTTCTTTGACTATTGTGAATTTAGTTTTAATTGAAAATCTCCTAAACGCTACTAAGGTTCAAAATTTTATTGTGCCTATAAGCCCAGATACATAAAATGCTCGAACTGTTTCTATATATACAGGATGTTTCAAACAGTTAATAAATATGTAATATGAGACAGTACGTTTTTATACTGAATATTTTGTTTTTTTTTTGTTTTCTTTGATTGACTAAAGTGCCTTTCTTTGCTCTATATGTCAGAAAGCTCAAATATTTGAAGATAGTTTTGCGATTTGGTATTTTGTATTGTTGGTAGTAGCGTTTTTAAACTCACATTAAATACTCTTTATTAAAAGTAATAAAAAACGTTCTCACTAATTTTGGTATATGGGGAACTATTTCTTCTAACTTATATCTTGATTCAATAAACATTCACATATTATTTACTGTTTACACTCATATAACAATAATATTCAGCTACTTTCCAAAAATGAATTTTCTGAAAAAACATGTGAAATAACTTGCATTTAACAAACAGAAAACAAAAACACAAATATAATTACGTTTCAAAGTGATCCATCAAATAACCAAATTAAAACGACCATTTGGCGTATCCAATCGTATTTTGTTGACGATTTCGATTTCGTTTCAATCGGAGTCAAATGAAATAATAGTGAATATGTATGTACATATACATAGAAATTCAATGTCTATCTAATCAACCCTCTTCAACAAATACAATCCGCAACGGAATTGTTATTTACCCAATGTTGGTTGAACCAAATAAAATGACGTGAAATTGAATTTGTCTAACTCTTATCAACATTGAGGGAAACTTACATAAAAGGATTTTTTTTCTTATCTTGATACCCTCAGTTAAAGGGTTTTGGGATGTTTCGAGGCAGCAAAGGACACATATATCATCTTTAAACGATTTGTCAGGTGTTAGAGATTTCAATGTATAGTAAAGAATGGAAAAATATTTCAATGAAAGTGAGAAGAGAAGATTAAGATAAAGATAATACTTTACCACATCTCACACGTGGCAGTCTGAATCTAAACTAGGCAGAGTATTTATTACGGTAATCAGACAGCTGATAATTACACTGAAATATTCCTAAATCCATACGTCAATTAATCAATCAATCAACAACCTATAGTAGTCCACTGCTTGACATAGGCCAATTCTTAGAAAGGAGGTTTTGGCCTACTATACCACGCTGGCCAGACGGGTTGGTATAGGGTTTGTTTCAAGTTTTCCTTCTCTTTGCAGTGCTGTTGTTTTGTAGTTTAGTCCCTTAGTCGGCTCTTACGATACCCACGGGATAAATAGAGGTGGTGATATAGATAAATTACACACAGATACAGAACAAAATGATCATGTTCACTACACAATTATTTGTCCTGAGTGGGAATCGAACCTACGATCTCCGGCTTAGCAGTCAGGGTGACTAACTACTGGACTAATAGACCCGTCAGAAAAATTACATACGTTCTTATATGGTCATATTAAATGCTGATCATTTAATATGAGCTACAAGAGTTTCGTCGACAATGTTTTTGGAACGAAGTTCCTAATCGCGCGTTACACACTAAGCGGAACTAACAAGACTTCTTTCCGACACTTCTTGTCCCAGATCATTCAGTGTTTAATTTATCATTATTTATTGTATTGACTTAATTTGTGTGTATTCATGAGTCATTATCATTAAATAATTATATGATTAGAATTAAAGATTGAACTTGAAATTTTATAATTTAAATTATAATGACTGTATAGCAAACGTCTACCGAAAAGCGAAAGGAAGTTCCTTCTGACCGGGGGTCTAAAGACCCTCACGCCGTTTTTTGCAATGATGATCCATTTCGCACGTTACACGCTCTAAACGGATGGGAGCGAGATCGAGAAATGTGTAACAAGACTTTTTTTCGACACTTCTTGCAGAACTTCGTTCCGACCGGGGGTCCATACACCCCTCACGCCCTTTGATGATGATATCCACGGAGATGGCGGAGCGAGACTGGGAGAGGTTTAGAACTCTTCCGGCCCGTCAGGTCCGTGAACGGGCCAGATATCGCAGACGACTCGGGCGCCGGAGATCACAGAACAACCTCCATACTCTAAAAGTACGAGCCTGGGGGTGACAGGTGAGGCCACCTGTCACCCTTTTATTTTTTCCGTGCGGAAATCCCCTCGGATACCACCTATCGGTGGCATGTCGGACTCGAACCGACTAAAACAGCACGCCGTCTCGGGTACTAATAGCCGGGGAACCAGGTATACCCGAGAAAGGAAGTCCCTGGTGCCCCGACATACCTCGGGCCATCTACAACAACAGGTAGACGACCCCCCCCGTGTGTGAACCAAATGTTCCCTCTGCTCCCTGGAAGCGAGCACGCTTCGCACCGCGCTCGCTGCCACCCCGGCCTGCTTCTGCTAGGGTGGGCGATGACAGATGTGTCGACCTAGCAGAAGCAGGCCGGAGTGGCGGCGAGACGCGCGAGCACAAAGGTAACATGGGGGTTACCACACAGGAGGGGGTCATCTACACGCCGTAGATGGCCCGAGGTACGGCGGGGTACCAGGGATTTCCTTTCTAGGGTACACTTGGTTCTGTACTGGTACCCGAGACGGCATGCGGTTTTTGGTCGGTTCGAGTCCGACATAATTACCCCACCGGTGGGTAATATCCGAAGGGATTTCCGCACAGGAAAAAAAAGAAGGGTGCATAGATAACTACTGTGACATTATATTTTTCAGTGCCATAATAAACTGTAGTCGCCACCATGATACAACAGGGCAACAGCTGTTAAATGTTTACTAGCACTACATCAGGACTGGGTTCATATGTTAGATAAGACTATAGAAAGTAAGGTGGCCTTCTTTGAACACATACAAAGGGGCCCGCAACATGAATTCCTGAGGCTTCTGTTAGAATAAAAAATACCAGGCAGGAGGACACCAGGTCGACCACGAAGGAAGTTGATAGATGACATCGTGGCCTGGACCGGACTGCGATATCGCCAACTAAAGGAGGCCGCTCATGATCGAGAGGTGTACCGTCTGCTGACCTCCAAACTTCATTTTGAGAATGGCACCCCATGATGATGATGATAGAAAGTAAAGAATGTACGATCTTGTCTGTGTACCATATTTGTTGGAGGTGATAGTCCCAAGAGACCTCTCAGTAATCAGCATCAGTAACCACTTACTTGGTAAGCAATAAGTAAATAAATTTTTTTAAGTACAACTGAAAGCCAAAGTATTTTTTTGTAAGCTCTACCAACATACAAAAAAAATTAATGTAGTTTTTTAACCATGTTTCATATCAGGTTTTATTTTAAACTAGCTTTTGCTGCGCCCGCGTGTTTGTCCTTACTCAAAAATCAAACTATCTTGAAACCAAATTACATCTAAATCGCTTCAGCAGGTATTGATTTCCCATACAAACTTCCACCCCCTTTTCACCCCCTTAAAGGATGGTTTCTGAGATAAAAACTATTCTATGTCCTTTCCCACGACTCAAACTATCTCTATACCTGATTTCATCTAAATCAGTTCAGCGGTTTAAGCGTGAAGAGGTAACAGGGAGGCAGACAGATAGACAGACAGACACACTGCAGTATTTATTATATTAGTGTGGACTAGTATAGATAAATTATTTGACAATAGCTAGCTATGATCGAGACGATAGCTAGGAAATGAAATATTAAAACAACATTTGAAAATGAAAAAGTCTTTTAATACAACAATTCACGCTTCGACATCAATATAGCGGGCTTAATGTATGGGAAGATATCCCTTGTTTTGTTCGTAGCCACCGCTGGCCTCTTGATGACCGTGGATCGAATGTGCTCCTAGATTGTTGAACTTTTCCAACACCTCTGCACCGCCCTTATACCCCTTCTGCAGGTAGTCACCCTGTAAAAAAAAAGAGGCATAAACAAACTTGAATAAAAACTTCGTGGTAGTTGTATTTATTAATTAAGAAATTAAATATCTATATAGAGGAATGTTGGGATCAACAGTGAAGATTTATTAGAAAAAATATCTCTCTAATTCAATGCGTATACATCGACTTAATAGAATACATTACATTAATAAACCCCAGGATTAACTGTTCTCAAAACGTAATATAAAACGAAAATTATTTAAACGAAACCATAATTTAAACAAATAACAAAAACGACCGTTCATTATTATCCCTTTTAATGACACATTTTGTTAATCTACCCGCATTGCTGTACAGAAATTTTACCAATTTTTTATCTAGAATTTAAATGAGGGCTCTAAAAAGTTGGTCGACATCTGTGGTTTTATTCAATGCCTTTTATAGCAGACCTACTCTCAAATAATTCTATTTAACGAGCTCGCAAGCTACTGTTTTCAATTCAAACAATGTACAAAACCGTAAACTTTTATGTTCCATAAACGGGGGTAGTTGTATAAAAAATAAGTTGTTTGTTAAATTTTACTGGTATTTGTTGAAGACTTTGTAGTATAGTTCCATTTTTAAGTTGTTTTAGCTTTTGAATAGACATTCGCTCAAAGAATAAATGCATCTAAATGTTAGATATAACTTAACCAATTCTCCTGACACGGATGAAAAACACAATATCATATGTTTAACCAGTTAATCACAAAACTTATAAACAAACAAAATCTAAATTATTACTGGTACTCTTTTCACAAACGTAAACATATGTCTATTTATTAAAAGAAGTCAAACGCCTATGCGGTAGTCACATGCTAATACTTACCTGGATTATATACACATGCATATGATTTCTTAAATATGTATTTGCAATAACTATTACATGATAATTCATAACGATATGTTATTTTATATCATGGAACACCGAAGCATAAGGTTAGCATAAAAAATGTTTTATTACCTTTACGTTTTATCAGTAATCCCCAGTCGGCTTTTTAGACATTCTAGAACGTCTAATTGGTTATAATGTACTTTATATTAACACTAATGCGTGACATCATTTCATTAATAATTCGAAAAACTTCCCAATATAAAAGCCGAATATTAATCCGTTTCCAATCTCCCGGAATCGAAATTTGGCACGGAATTATACTCAAAATAGCACTAGAAATCATTGATAATGTTAGGAAGCAAACCCATTCATATAGCACATATTGTATGTTGATTTTCACCAGTAAAATTGCGTGGTGTTCAATGCCTAGGTCGCAACATTTGCGTAACTGGTATTGAAAGTGATCAACATCAATCGTATTGTAACACGCGATGTTACGCTAATATGTATCGAAAGTTAATCTTACTACTATTATTAACGGATGCAAGTATGTTACTCAATGGAGGTATCTGGATTTTTTTTTGTATGAAATAGCACACGGTTTTTCCGTGAAATCTATGTACATATATTGGTACACACGTTTCGTCTTTTGGACCGAGATATTTGAACAAGAATACCACTTAACAACCTACTCAAATAAATAAGAGCCTTTTACTAAATACACAATCCCTTTATTCTGCAGATTATTATAGCCAAATGATGATATTAAAAATAAGCCATTTTAAGTTATCCAAATCGTTAATATCATTAGAGAGAGAGAGAAAGAGAGGGTAAAAGAGAGAAATCGTGTATATGTATATATTTTTTTGGAATGGGGCGAACGAGCAGATGTGATACCTGATGGTTAGTGACTAATGCACCCCAGCAACTTAAGAGTCACATGTGCGTTGAGGGGTTGCTCAACAGCGGTGTACTGTAAGACCGTAGTATCATCCAGATAAATTATAATCATATGATGAAATGATTGATTTAGGTGATTCATCATAGACAAAGATAAATGTCATCAAAATCAATCTAAATTCTTTTTATCAAAGATTAAGATCTTTTTTTTTATTTACACATTTTGCGAGTGTGACGCTAGTTAGTAATATAAACCATAAGTCGCAGTGATTTTGTAGTCACAGGTGTAATTATATTATTTATAAATCATATCATAAATCATAGCTGATTGTGATTTTATTCCATCCCCAGTATCATCACTCCGGTCGGGCCGGCTCAAATATGCCGAAGTGCCATACTAACCCACGGTAATTGTTTTGGTGTTTTTATGCATTTTTTCACGTAGAAATAAGAAAAGTACCTACTACTGAGTGCTCGATAACAAGGAGGCAATTGTAATATTTCTAAGACATTCATTTATTACTTTAATTTATAACTTACTGTATCATATGAATGATTAAAATAAATACAACGTCATTTTCGATTATCAACAGCCTTAATTTGTCCACTGCTGTACAAAGGCCTCTCCTTAGAAAGGAGGTTTTGGTCTACTATACCACGCTGGCAGAAAGGTTGGTATAGGGTTGGTGTCAAGTTTCTCTTCTCTTTGCAGTGCTGTTGTCCTGCGAAGTTTGCTCCCTTAGTCGGCCTTTACGACGCCCACAGGATAAATAGGGGTGGTGACACACCGTATTCTTAATTCGTCACCACACGGATAAAAATGTGTAGATAAATATAATAGGAGTTATATTTTTTAAACTATGGTATTTTATTAAAGTGGTATGTGTACGTGGGTTTAAGTTTAATATATACTCGTATATAAAGCATTTCGTTAGTTTAATGAACTGTATCACTGACTAGGTGTTACAAATTAAAAAAAAAAAAAAACACTTACCTTTTCACCCTTTGTATTATCGAATTTTTGTCCTGACACGTGATGTCCTTCTTTGCCTTGAGCTGCAGCATCCAAAACCTTTTCCTCATGAGCTCCCTTGAATCCTTGTTGAGAGTTTTCACCGAAGGAACCAGCATTGTGTCCTGCGATCTTATGGTCTGCCTCATCGTGAGCTTCATCGTAGAAGGTCTCAGTCTTCTCCTCCTCGTTCTTGCTGCTGGATGTCTTAAATCCTTTGCTTACGTGCCCTTTTTTGTGACCTTTGGCTTTTTTCACTTGTTCCTCATTTGCACCTAGATTGCAACAATAGGAATTAAATATAAATATAATTTAATATAAAAGTTACAAAAACTGTTTATAAATGATATTATAAAATTCCATTTGTTGTCACTTTAACAGTTATTAATTTATGTTTTTATTACCTATCGCTGAAATGTTCTTACAAAAAGTTATCGAATGTCAAGCTGAGTCAAGTGAGCGTGAAATTGCCTCGAAATTGTGTGTAGGAAAAACTTTTAATTTAAATAATGTAGTATTTACCTTGTTTATCAAACTTTTGACCTCCTTGGTAAAACTTTTCATCTCCGGCTGCTTTTTTTTTGGCTTCTTCGTCCTTATAGAAGCTAGATTCACCCTTTTCAGCCTGAACTGCTTCTCCGCCTTGTTGGAAGCCTTCCTGACCATGCTTCACTTCTTCCTCAGCTTTTTTTTCAATCTTCTCCACATTTTCTCCTGCACCTTTCTTCTGAGCAGCATCGTAAGCTTTTTTATCAACGTATCCTCCACCAACTTGACCTCCAAGTAATGGATGGTAGACTAAACCGTTGCCGTATCCGATGCCACCGAGTCCACCAATCCCAGGATTTATCAGATTACCCACACTAATTCCAGGATTATGAAGGCCTAGTCCGCCAACTGCGCCAACTCCTCCGAGACCAAGTCCCAATCCTTGTCCGAGACCAATGCCTCCCAAACCGATGCCGCCTAAGCCTAGGCCTTGGCCATAACCAAGTCCACCAACACCGACACCACCAACACCTCCAACGCCGCCTACACCCCCTACTCCGCCGATACCCCCAATTCCACCGACACCTCCCACTCCACCAACCCCTGTAACTCCACCAATGCCTCCAACTCCACCATTAACACCGTTAACCGCAGTCAATATAGTAGAAGCAGCTCCTTCAATTTGTTCGGGATAATCCTCACTTTCTTCCACTTCATAACTGTTTGATAAAGGCAGTCCAGTTTTGATGTTACTACCGATAGCATCCAAACGTTCGTTCACATAATCGAAGGGAGTCTTCTCATTTACTAATTCAACTTTATGTAACTGTACCACTGGGAATGCAAGAAGTGAGATAGTGAAAATTTGTTTTAACATCTTGTCAACGCGATCGATACCGACGTTTCGAGACTGATGTCATTTAGATATTGCAACTGTTATTTATACTAAAGTTAAATTCGGTGGAACGAAACAGTGTTTTGTGTTAATCGTGTGATAGTTTTCGCAGGGCGTCTAGGGGCCCGTGCCCGCTCGTTTCCTTCCTGTGGTATTGTTTCGACTAACCCCAATTAGAACGACACGGCTAAATAAAACAATAAAGTCTGGTCGAAGACCTTGCTTTCCAGTTCACTGGTGGCGGCAGTGGGGCGTTGGTTTACGCAACCACCGCACCGCTATGGTTTTCTAGACATTTTCTTAATATATTCCGTGTTATCTCACTTTAGGTAATGTTTCATTACGATTTCTGTTAACGGACTAAAGATTAGCTGTAGATATTATAATATCTGCCTTAATTTAGTTCAAAAACTTTGCTGGCGCCTTTCGTTTGTAGTGTAGAAAGACTAATGAAGTGAAAAAAATGGTGTAGTTTAATAAATAGGTGATCAATTTCTTCTGTACATTATCAAGCATAATGGCCTTGGTTCAGATCGGACGATTTCACGTTATTGTTTTCTTACGCTTGAAATATGTGTCGAGGGCTCTAACAAAGGTTGTTTAAGAATTATGTTGGCTTGTATTCATTGAATCACAATATGAGTCATGGCCGCAGCTATGGCTATATGTTTTTAAAAATATTATGCTTTTATTTTAAGATTCGAGAATATTTCCTATAGATGACTCTAAGAGATATTTTTTTACATTTAATCAGACTGACTTAGGCGACCGCTGAAACATAAAACTGTTCTAAAATTATACACTACTTATAATAATCAATTTGTTTTGTAGGTACTATTCTATTGAATCACAGGCATATTTTAGTTTGAAATAATTATGCATGATTAAGAACTTTAGTTAAGCGTTCCATGCTGTAGATCTCTCATAAGCAAGAACTTCGTGTCTTTTTATGATATACCGTCCACTAAAAATACAAATGGCCCTCGTCTCTAAGATTTGTTCTCATTTCATTTGTATTTGTTTTAAGCAAATGTCTACTAAGTTTTAACGAAGTGTGCACGCAAAGCGAATGAGTCGAATGAAATAGGTAAAAAAGTAATTAGGCGTATTTTGTGAAATTGTTAATGATACTGGCATTTTTTTATTACACCGGCACTATGTACCATGGCAGCATATCCATATGATTCAGGACATTATTTTAAGCCTGTGCCTGTTAATATGCTAATAGATGCCTAAGTCTAACTTTTATAGGAAATATAATTTAAATTGATCTTATATCGCATTATTATAACGAAACATAAGAGCACACTCCGGTGACCGTGGATCAATGATTATCATACACACCTAATCGCATAACTTTTTTTTTTGTTTTTACAACATTTACGAAAAATATACGAGTATCATCATCTGCCTACCCTTTTCCCAATTTTATTTGGGGTCGGCGCAGTATGTATGATTTTTCCATTCTACTCTGTCATGCGTCATCTCACTGTTTACTCCCTTCCTAGCCATATCCTCCCTCACGCAGTCCATCCACCTTTTCTTCGGTCTGCCTCTTCTCTTGTACCCTTCAACTCCCATACCTAAAACTTTCTTTGCCACATTTTCCTCATCCCTCCGAATATACGAGTATATACATATATATTTCATCCTGAGTGACATTCTTTCTAAATCTAATCTCTTAAATTTCTGGTAGTTTAAAATATTGACCAGCTATAATAATTGATCCGTGTGGTGAAGGAGTAAAAATACGGAATGTCACCACCCCTATTCATCCCGTGGGTGTCGTAAACGTCGACTAAGGGAAAACTTAAAACAAACCATATACCAACCCGTCTGGCCAGCGTGGTATACTAGGCCAAACCGCCTTTTTAAGGAGAGGTCTATGTACAGCATTGGACAATTATAGGCTGTTATAATAATTGAATGATACATATAACACGAAACTCAATATGTATACTATTGAAATGAAATGAAATTTATTTTTGCAAGTAATTTCAGCAATTTACCGAAACAAACCACATAGGTGTATTTTTTTTAAATGGCTGTACAATGTTAAAGAAAACTATGTGAGTGAAGTATAGGGTCTGCGTTGTCATTATAAAGGAAGGACCATAGTATTGAGTCGGCCCGCCATAGAGACGGCATACGAGCCCCAGCCATTGTGTGACCTAACCGATATAGTCAGGATCAACAACCCGGAACACGACACTACCACCTTATTGTAGAATCGCACACCCTGACATCGAAAAGACTTGTTACATTTTGTAGTCTAGTCGTTGACAACACGAGTTTACTTTATTTCTAGTGTTTACGTTATGAATGTCGCTACATTTTGTGAATAAATGAATATTCTTCTTAACATACACTATATTTATAATAATAATAATATTGTAACACATTCACACAACGCCATCTAGTCCCAAACTAAGCAGAGCTTGTATTATGGGTACTAGACAACTGATATAAATACATATATACTTTTTTTTTGTAAATACATACTTATTATACATAGAAACACCCAGACCAAATCAAACATTAAATGTTCATGCACATAAATGTTTGACTTGAGCGGGAATCGAACCCGCGACCTTTGGAATAGCAGTCCGTTACACAAACCACTACGCCATTCGGTCGTCACGTATATATATATATATATATATATACGTATATATAGAGAGATGCGACTGTCATACTACCAATTTCTACTACTACAATATTATAGAGTTGTATCTTTCTTACTCATAATAATAACTTTACGTATTTCACATACGGCTATTTGATCCCAAACTAGGCAGAGCCGGTGACCGACTGCTGACTGACTGGTGAGACAAAAGTGATCATGCTCATCACCATAATATTTGTCCTGGGTGGGAATGGAACCCACGACCGCCGGCATAGCGGTAAGGGTCCACTAAACTAGACTACCGCTAGACTAATAGGCCCGTCAACAATAATGAATTAAGAAAATTGAGATGTTTTGAATTCGGTTGTATTTTTCTTATGTTGGTTATCTCAGAAACCGGCAATTATGAACCGATTTGAAAAAACTTTTTTTTTTTATTGAAAAGGTATATTTTCTGTTTGTTCCCATTCAAATTTAAAGCAAATTTCTACTCCTGAGCGTAAAAATCAAGGTATGAAGAATACAGTTAACTTCAATTTCTTTCATATCACCGACTTTAATCACCTACTTAACTGATAATGTATTTTATTGTGTTGGTATTTTATTAAAAGTTAATTATTCTCAACAGAGTTGCAAAGAAGACTTTATAAGATAACCTTACAGAACAAAATCAGAAGTTGCATTTTATGTCAGTTTAAGGCCCATCTTCATCAATCATTGACAGCCTTTTATAGTCCATTGCTGGACATTGGCCTTTCCTTAGAAAGGAGGTTTGGCCTACTATACCACGCTGGCCTTTGGTCTACTTTAATTCTTAAAAACGCGATAATGTAATGTCTGTACTAAATACAATTGTTATATTATCAAAGGTTAATAAATGACCTGTTGTATGTTTTACTTTACTCGGTACTTTTTCTTATCAAAATTGTACAAATATTTTGTACAAGATTAATTACTTTGTTGTTGTCATGCTACCGATAGGTCTGGAGACCACAATCGAATTTAAAAGTGTTTAAACTTTAACTTTAGATAAATAGGTGTCATTTAGTTATTTACGTACATACAAATACTAAACAACATTATTATTTAACATACATTTTGCGGACTATAAATTAGAGGCGAGTTACCCTTAAAAAAAATTTCGAAATGAACACACACGGGGCATTTTCTAGGTGGCTCCTACGACTGAGTTACTACAGGAATCCAGACTAAGGTGGTTTAGACATGTTACGCTAAGACCCGAGAATCACATGAGAGTGACGAAGTGTCTTTGCATGGCTGCAGAAAATAGAGGGAAAGGCGGGCCACAAACAACTTTTTTTTCTGTATAAAGACCAGTCTCTCACTAGGATAATATCCTGTAATGCCCCCCGCATTACAGGATATTATTCTAGTGAGAGACACTAACATGCATAAAACAGACACTAAATGACCTAGACTCAGAGCAACAATTTGTGTTGTCCCATGTGGGGCTCGAACCCACATCAGTCAGTGCAGTACGAAGCGGCGAGGTGACCGCTCAAATCACTACGCCATTCGTGCAGTCATGACTAATGTTTAAAGGGACATAAAGGAGATTCTCCTGTCTATTGACGATGCTTTTCCGCGAAGTATATGGCGCCTCAAGATTGGGCAAACTGACCCTGCGTAGGCGGCGTAGGAGGCGTGGCGAGGCGATGAAAAGAACTACGTAATAGGGGGTAAACCTATTAGCGTCAACCGGGTACTTTTGTAAATTAATTCAACTTGGGAGTTCGATATGAAAGGAAGCGTTGGTAAAATGGGAAACCAATGGTAAGAATGGGATATTGCTAAACAATGGGTTGTAGAGTGTGGGCAATAAGTAGGTTAAGGTTACTTCTAACCAGCATTAATATTATTTAGTTCTTTGTACTCTTATCGTACCTCCTCCTCTTATCTTACCGAAGGAGAAAAAGAGCTCGTGGCTAAGTGGTATCAGAGTAGGTTAGCACATTGCAATGTTAAACAACCCTAGGCAGGTCAGTTTATGGATGGGTGACCATTCTTAACACATTGAGACCCCTCAGTGCCTCGGAGAGCACGTTAAGCCGTCGGTCCCGGTTACCATACGAACATCTGTGGCAATCATTAGGCGTAGTTCGAGCCTTAAAAGTCCGACAACAGCCTATTTAGAGAACTTCGATATCGCCTTTTTTTTTTTTGTTGACGGGGTGGAAAATCCCTTCGGATCTCCTGCTCCTCGGGGACTCAGGAGCCAGGAGTATGTGGCGATTCCACTAAAAACCTACCCGACGGTCGGCCTTAGGTGTTTACTCTGGGGAGGACCCGGACCATGTTTTTCAGGTCCTCCCCGAATTGACACCATGCCTAATCA